ATAATTAATAACTTAATGTCTGAAATTTTATTTGCGTATTTTTGCAGGATTTTCAATATCAGGTGTCAATTATGCGTACTACTCATATAAAAAGTCTCTGCGTACAGCTCATAGTAAAAAAATTTTTCGCCACCTGACCCCTATATATATATTTCTGGGTCCTAGCCACCTCTAGTAACATAATAACATTTTTAAAAAAATTTCAAAAGGTATTCATTCAAGAAATTTCTCTTAAATCTTTAGCATTACAGGGTTGTCACCATCTTTCTCCTACAGACTCATTACATTCTCCACATATATCATATACTTTTCTTTTTTTTTAAATCTTCCGTATAATTGACTCTATCTATTCTTCTATGTTAGCTGAATTAATAAAGAAATTGTAACATGCTTTTAAATAATATTATTACGGATATTCGATAATAAAATAAATTGAATTTATCTATATTTATCACCAATTCACCATCAACATTTTGTCATAGATTTCTCGGCTTTTTTTTTCTTTTGCCGTTTCGTCCATATTTCCATATTAACAAAATTTAGCAAAGGATGTGCTGTTTACATTAATGACAGTTGCAACATCATAAATATTATTTACTTTAGATGTATACTTATTTACACTTTATATATATATATGTAAAATATACAGTATAAAATAGAATTATTTTCGGAGTTTCGGAAATATGGGTAACATCTGAAGGATATAATTCCCACCAATCATATCCAAGAATTTTGACAGCACATTCTATCATTGCCATAATCGAAAGATTGTGAAACCTTTTTTTTTCAATAAATAAATCCTAATTACTAAATCTTATTTTATCTTACATGATGGCTGAAAAAGATTTGCCTTCAATCTCTGCACTAAAAATCGGTTGCTATATTATCCGCATTTATTTGTTTTCATATGACACGGCAAGCGACATAATTTTTTCACATATATAGTTAATACACGGTAACTCGCGATTACATGTACTATATCTTAATAATTGTTCAATTTAAATAATTTAATGTCTACAAGTGAAATCATCATAAAAATAACTACATACCGCGGACATAATTGCAATTACTAATTTAGACATACAACTAATTTTTGAAATTTCTCTTTAGACTCTCCAACATTTCTATTATATTTACATTAAATATAAACGACCAATGCTGTTTCGCCAAATTAATTAATTAACTTTTGAATTTAAATTTAACTTTATAATTTTTTTAACTATACGCGCATATATATTATGTATATTTTAATTAAAAAATTTTTACGTTATAAAAAATATAAATTAAAAGATCTATGGATCTGCAAACCTAAAAAAGATCATGTCATTAATCTAAATATGGAAAGTCTTGTTGATCGTACATGCGTACAATGTCACGCATATATAAAATGGGTAGAATTTTTTTTTTTTTTGCATTTGCGTATAACAAGTTATATCATAATTACGGCGAAATTTCTTTGAAAAAAAAGAAAAAAAAAAAAATTATTATTGTCATTTTATTATAAGGCTTATTTTAAATGAAAAAAAAGCTACTTTTTTTTTTTAACTTTTTTTTTTAACTTCCAATATCATTATATTTTAACACCATCGTATTCACGGAAGTGTAAAAAATTTCTTTTTCTATTGTCTACCGGAGTTTTGTTACCAAAGAAAGTTTTTTGAAATTCCGCGGGGAACGGAAAATTCAATTTTGCATATTTGAAACAAAAAATTGTTTTTACCGTTTATGGTAAAAGCTTACTAATTGTTCGCAAAAATCAAAAAGATTATATTTATCAAATTATGATTTCACAATATTCAAAATGATGATAATATAAAAAAATTACCATAACTTTTTTTTTGAGCTTAACATGGTGATTTATCCGGATAATCTCGAGGATCGACAAAACCCTGGTAACGACCCCTACCCTTAACGCCGGTTCCAGGCCATATATGAACATTAATTTTTAATTTTTTACCTAATATTAAAATAACCATTCCTTTTTTCAAAGCAAAGGTATATTGGGCTGTTGAAATAATTTCATCATCATTTACAAATTAATTTCACTCGGAATTTTACAACCCTGGTAATTATAATTTAAATTCAGTAATAAAAAAGCCCTTTCTCCATTTTTTTTTTCATTCCTTTTCTCTAAATAATTAACACTTTTACATAATGCCGACTGATTTAATAGAAAAACGTCGAGCAGCTCTCAAGGAGATTGATGATGCAAAATTTGGTTGGTATCATGTTCGTGCGTGCTTAGTAGCTGGTACTGGATTTTTTATGGATGCATACGATCTGTTTGCTATCAATTTCGCCTCTACTATGATCGGATATGTCTATTATAACGGCAAGATACCCGCTAATATCGACTTGGGTTTGAAAGTGTCGGCCTCCATTGGAAACTTAATAGGCCAATTACTTTTCGGCTGGTTGGCTGACGTACTCGGACGAAAAAAGGTAAATAAAATGATGTGAGAAAAGTGTGATGAGGATGGAGAAAACTTAAATTTCAGTTTAAATTTGGTTCTATTTTACATTTTAGATGTATGGAATTGAATTGATGATTATTATTGTTGCAACAGTGGCTTCAGCATTATGCGGTGAAAGTTATGCTATTTCAGTAACCGCTACAATCATGATTTGGCGTGTAATCATGGGTATCGGTATTGGTGGTGACTATCCACTTTCGTCAATAATTACCTCAGAGTTTGCAACCAAAAAAAGAAGAGGCGCAATGATGGCCGCTGTGTTTGCTATGCAGGGATTCGGAATATTCGCAGCAGGTCTTGTAGCACTTATTGTATTAGCAGCTTTCAGGAATGGCATCATTCATAATGTTATGGTAATTGATTACTGCTGGCGTTTGATACTTGGTTTGGGAGCCGTACCTGGTTTACTCGCTCTCTACTTTCGTCTCACTATTCCAGAAACGCCACGATATACAATGGAAGTTGAAAGAAATCTAATGAAAGCGTCTACAGATATTACATCCTATTTGCAGAAAAAAGCTAATGAATCACACAATAACGATAAAAATGATCATGACAATAATAACGATAATAATCATAACGACAATAACGATCATAACAATCATAACGACAATAACGATCATAATGATAATTACAATCACGATGATGATACATCATCTGAATATCATGTACCAAAAGCAAGTTGGTCTGATTTCTTTAATTATTTCGGAAAATGGTATAATGGAAAAGTTTTATTAGGTACTTCCATGTCATGGTTCGCACTGGATATTGCTTTTTATGGAATTGGTCTTAACAACGCGATTATTCTAAGTGCAATTGGCTACTCGGATGCTAAAGATGCTGATTATAATTTAAGGGCTTATAATTCACTTAAAAATATGGCAATTGGTAATATTATCATTACAATTATGGGTACCATTCCTGGTTATTGGGTTACCGTATTATTGGTAGATAAATGGGGTCGAAAGCCTATTCAATTTATGGGTTTTGGTGTCCTTACTGCACTCTTTATTGCTATGGGCGCCTCTTTTGAACAACTGAAGGAACATTCTATTCCTGCATTTATCGTCTTATTCGTATTGTTGCAGGTATTTATTTATTTATTTATTTATTTTTTATTTCCACAAAAACTGAGTTGGAGCGCAATCTTGCCGATTTGGACAAATCAAAGCGAAAAAACTAAATACCTAAATCATTTTTCGCTAGTTCTTTCAAAATTTCGGTCCAAACACAACAACATTTATTGTACCGGGAGAAGTTTTTCCAACGCGCTATCGGTCAACTGGTCATGGTATATCAGCAGCGTCCGGAAAACTTGGTGCAATTGTTGCTCAAGTTGGATTTTCAAAACTTAAAGACATTGGTGGAGCGGACGCATTTGTGGGTCGATTGCTTATAATCTTTGCAGCATGGATGTTTATTGGTGGTTTATTCACCCTGTTATTACCCGAAACAAAAGGTTTGTCACTTGAAGAATTATCCAACGAAGATCATTTTTATAAAGAGAAAAAAGAAAAAGAAAAGAAAAAATCGGAAGTTTAAAATTAAATTATGGTGTAAAAAAAAATCACTTCAAAAATCCTTATATATTTTTTTATAAATTTTTTTTTTTACATCACTTGTTTTTTAATTTATTCATTACCTTATGTATTACAAAAAATTAAGAATCTTTAATAAAAAATTGAATCAGAATACTAACAATAGACAGGAATTAATCGACAGGTCTTGAATAAGAATAGTAATTACACTTGCGGCCAAATTTTTGTGGCGAACTACACCATAATAATACAAACATTAAATTATAGTACAATTCATAATCTTCAATATTGTTGACCTTTAATAATTTGGCTACTATTCAAAATCCGAACGAAGCTCACATGGCGCAGACTATTCATCTTACATGGAGTTCTATACTATAAAGCTGCGGGCTAGCGTTGTTTCTTTTGAATGGGGGCCTGGCAATGATAACCTCCAAAACCCGTTCCACTTTTTATGTAACTTCAAATCCTCTTCCGAATCTTCTATCAAAGCAACTTCGGAAAACTTGATATTGAGTGGATTTTACTCGTACATTAAATCCCATCAGATCTGTAAAGTAAAAAATATCACTCTGTTGTCGTTATGATATTCCATAAAGGTAATCAAAGTCCTCTTCAAACGCTACGCTTGGAGTACATTTTCACATTGTAAGACATTTTGGATAAAACAGATGGCAACAGTATGCTGCTTGTTTTCAGGAATACAAACTAGTAATTCATCGAGAACCTTGATTGCATAATCTACTCGTCCCGTATTTCTTCACCAAGTTGTGGAATCAAGTTCGTTAGCCCTGTAAAAAAGTCGATCCGTTTTTTATCTTCCATCTTTTTCCGTAAAAGACACATTTCTGGAATTAATAACCTTATATCACGGAATTAATCGAATTATTTATATTTTCCGTGAATAGATCCGGGAAAGACTCATTTTTACGGAGTTTTTACAGAAATAATGAATAAAATTTTTTTGTAAGGTAGTGAGCGAAATGGAGCGGTGAAATTCCTGAAGAGAATTATAGTACGTTTGCTGTACTGTGCTGTTGTCTACTAATGCAAGACGTTCAATGGCTAGAAGTGGCGTAGAAACAGAGGTAGAAGTATTTATAACACGAAATTAATAATTTACCAGACTTACTAGCGTCATAGGATGCTTCGAGGAAAATTTCCTACTTACACATCAAAACAACTGTTCTGTCGCTAATTGCAACTGCAAGCGTTAAGACTGTGGTCTAAATTTTCTGCATCACCTCAATCGATTACTTCATCGATAGTTAAGAGAATGTGCCATCAACTTCAGATGAATTTACCAGCAATCCAAGAGAATCAATTCTTTGATATTAAATTCATTGCAAATGTTCACGTGATATTAGTTCCCGCGGCAATCAAAAATATGCTGCATTTAAATTTTTGAAGTGATTCATATAGGACCCGAAATATATACGTAGAGGTAGGAATTATTGAGTCGCCGTTATAGAAATATTCTACGGGTTAGATTTTGACCTAAGCAGGGAGGATGATTTTCTGCGGTGATTAAGGATGAATTCTGCGTGTGATAAAAGTTATGTGAAATTCTGTGAATTATGCAAGGTCGGCCAACATTACGATTCACAAATTCTGGCCAAACTTAATGGCAGCCAGCATTATGATGATTGCATCCTAAATCAGGCGAAAATTAATATCATTTTTATAACCCTATTCTGTGATTTCCGTGAAACACAGAAAATCATCAAAGTCATGTTGTTAATTTATTTTTAATTGATTTTTTAAAGGGGGTTTGTATTGCGTATACTTGGCGGAGGGAAATAAATTTATTGATTTGCATAATTGCAAAATATATCACAGCATGTTGGAAATATAATAAATATGTTGCTTGTGTTATACATCCGATCATCCATTTATTGACCCAACAGGTCTAAAGGTGGACTCCTAAGAAAGTAGTGGTAAAAAATCAAAAATTGGAAAGATTATCGTCTTGACCACCATGTTAATAATTGTTCGCAAATGAATACACTAGTTGTCTTGCATTTTGTACGACTAAATGAAACAATCGTCAGGGGATTAGTTTGTGGTTAGGTACCGATCTTATTAAAACCCCTGTGTACAGACATTTGTAAAAAATTTTAATGTCCCCTGACTTGTCTATACATATATCGGAGATCTATTCATATTATAACACTAACCAAAAGGAATCTGATCAATGGTAATAATTTTAATGAAACCTGCGAATTTTTATTTTTTATTTTTATGTAATTGGTATAATAGATATAACAATTAACAGTTGTAATTTTAAGGATGATAAAATAATATTTTGAAAATATATCGCCAAAGCATTAACTTTTATCTGATTCATTTAAAATTTTAAATCTATAAAATTTGAATAACATAATAATGAAATAATTAATAGAATATGTTAAGATAAACTACCGATGCACCTCCGATTTCTTAACCTTCACTTTCAGCTTGTGTTCGGGTTCTGCGTGATAATATTTTTTTTTTTTGCGATTAAAATTAAACATTTACCTGAAAGACGATAAAAAAATCTACATATTCATAATCAACTGAACAACTTTATTTATTCCAATTATTATTCCATCTATTTAAAGATCAAAATAATCCCGTAATAAAATGATCTATTTTAAAATGTATACATGGGGTGAATTAGGTTCAAACCATGCCGAAATAATCTTGAAACAAAAATTTGGTGTAATATATTTCATAATTACGCCGACAATTTTTTATAAGTATTTTTTTATCTTTCACGAAATCATGCGTTATACACATCCGCAGCATCACGTCATTAAAAAAGAGTTTAACAAAAAGGACTCCATCTAATAACGTTTTCTAATTAATGCAAAGTATCATTTAGATATGTAAAGGATTTATACTATGTCTGAAGAATTATCCAAATTTTTTCAATGCGATTTTGTTTATTTGAAATCCTTTACCTATTCTTTTTATTTTAATGTCTTAATAACGAATAAATTCTTTAAATTTTACCAAAAAACCTTCTTTCATAATAAACATAAATATGTATTATTATCTAACATCAACAATAAATTTTTTTACCTGATATTCAATAGAATTTTGCCATAAATTTCTTGGCTTTTTTCTTCATTTTAATGTTATTGTCGTATTTACTACATAATTGTACTTGTTAAACGTTAACTTTAGATTATCAGATTAAAAATATTTGATATTTTTTTTAAAAAAAACTTTTTATAAAGAATGCTAAAAAAAATATGAAAATTTTATGAAAATTTTGTGAAAATTTTGTGACAAAGATAATTAATGTACATTTGAAAAAAAAAAAGATTTAATAATTTTTTAATAATTTTTATTTACACAAAATGTTGATATTCGAAACCTGGAAATTAAATTCTTAAAAATAATGTCTAAAAATACAGTACAAATTTGATTTTCTCAATGTAATTTTAGCTAGTTAAATTTTTCACAATTTCTTAGTATTTGATTTAAAAATATTTCACCCAATTTTAGAATTTTGTTTTTTTTAAAAAAAAATCAAAAAAAAAATCAAAAAAAGAATATTATTTTTTTTTTTTTTTGGACCGGCCCCTGTATCCGAATATTTCCGTTGTATGCATGGTCGGAACAAGCCTAAAAATTCCGTGAGTTATACCGCATTTATCGGAAAAAAAATGACGCTTCTTACAGGAGGAATTATTTGCGATACAAATTTAACAGTTAAAAAAAATCTGAGATGACTCAAAAAAAAATATAAGCCTAAATCAAATTACTATTATTGATCGTACATGAAAAAAAAAATAACTTTAAATGGCAAAATATTGATAATAAGCCAGTATGCGATAAATATAACTTACTAATTATAGTATGACTTAATTGAACCAAAATTAGATTGGACCGAATCTAAAAAAAATAGGGATGCTTATACATATAAATCGATGGGGATAATTTGTGGGATGATTTTATATCATATGATAATTTAGAAGGGAGACAAAGATCTTTTTTTCATAATAATAATAATAATAATAAATATGATTCTTTGAGAATTTAACCAAGAATGTTATAGTAATGTAGATAAAATCTTGAAAGTTGTAAAATCTTTAAAATCATACATTTCCAATAGATTCAAACCACGTGAATGGTAGTCATACGATGTACAAATAAAAAGATTCAATTTTTATTCGTTAATGCACCATGCCATATGCAACTCTCAATTTACAGCTAAGGGGGCATTGAATATACCTTATTTCGAGGAAAGTGACACTATTAAAACTGTAACAAATACTTAATTAAACACCTTCCTGATTTAACAGTTAGCGACCATTTTTGAAAAAGTTTTGATATCCGAAATTTAAAAATTTGTAAATATTAATATAATATAAACCTTTAAAAGAATGAACTTTTTTTAACCTGTTAAAATTTAATATATCTTGTACGCTTGCAACACAAACCTTTTCTTGATAATTTTTCTTCCGCCTTTTAATTAAAATTTTAACCAAGTTTAGAGATTTGTACTACATTAAATTATTGCTTTAATAAAAAAAAAAAATTATGTAATGTAATGCAATGCGTTTGAACTTAGCCCATTTTTGTCATTCATCATTTTATTTCGTAAAGAATTAATTCAATTTTCTTATTTTTCATAATCAATCGTGAGTTCGTGACCCAACCCCCCTCATTACTTAATAATTACACGTCGTCACACAACAATATATTAAGAACGATAACCCAAATTTATTTTCTTTTTGCCAAGAAAAATAACAATTAAATTTTTCATAAAAAATCACTTTTTAAAAAAAAATGTAAAAAAAATCTATTAGACATAACGCATGAGCCACTCGAATTCATAAGATCGATGTAAAAGTATGATTTGTCGTCGTCCAAAGATTAACTTTTTTCGGATAATTTAAATGAAAAAATCATCTCATTATTATCTTTTCCCTTTATCGTTAAAATATAATTATATAATAATTATATATAATATATATATATATATAGATGATGCGCTAATTATAGAAGGTTCTTTGAGAATTTCTTTTAAGAAAATTTCTTTTAACTTTTTTCTTTCTCAATCATAAATAACAAAAAAGCCCCAAAAGAATTTACTATGAAAAAAATGATGATAATTATAATAATGATACTTTCATTTCCATGTGTACGGTATAGAAAAAAAAAAAAGCGAACTTATAGTACTTTATATATACAGAATTACTGCGGCATGAATAAATATTTCACTTGTTCTACTTTTCGAATAATAATAATGTTACCAATGATAAATTAAGGTAGTAAAAATGTTTAACCCATGTGAAATCTTTTTCGACGAATTAAAATTTATATTTGATGGTTGTACCTATTTTAAAAAAAATGATTGTTTTTTTTTATGTGATTGTAAATATTTTTATAGTGTTTATTTTATATGGAGAACATATTTCCGAATTGTGTAAGTATAATTTTTTTGGCTAAAAGATATGCAAATTTTTTTAAGTTTCTTTGAAGGTCATGGTTTTTTTTATAAAAAAAATGGTTTCTATTAATAGAAATTCCAAAATTATTCAACAACAAAATACATTTCATCGACAAATTTAAAAATAGAATAAATAAATTCGTCAGTATATCTTATTTTTGACATTTTAAACAACATTAAACATTTTTAGTAATTTTTTTTTTTTTTAAAACGAGTAAAACCAAGTTAAAGAGAATAAACGGGATATTTCCTGTAACACTAAAACCAAAGATGATAACATGTGGCGACCAAAAATAATTTTTTTTTGCAAAATTTTTTATTAAGGAAATAAGGATGCATTTGAGATATATTTGCCGTACATAATAAAGTAGGGGAAATTATTCCGTCAAAAGAATTATATTTTTTTTTTTAAAAAAAAAAAACTTATAATGTGGAAAAGTAATGTCCTGTAACAAGGTTTAAAAGTCTCATCTAATTTTAGAAGTAATAATAAAGTATTCTAAAATATATAACTGAGATAAAGTTGTGTTTCGGAGATAACGTTAACAAAAATTTGGTATTTCATTACTTTTGGAAAATATATAAAAGACGTGTTGTGAAACGATGTACAAAATCATTGATAAGTAAATCTCGTGAACATCAACTTAACTGTTTAAATCTATACAAAGTAACTTATCATATACGTTGGGAGAAATTGTTCTTCCTTTCTTAATTATTTTATAATAAATAATAAATAATAATATAATAATAATTTTGTTGTGAACAACATGAATGTTAAATTAGTTTTATTTGCATTCCTCTTTGGAGGATTGATTTTACTAAATGACAAAACAAACGTAAATGCATTACCTGCATTACAAGGTAATAGTCTAATCAGCTAATTTTCCTTGATTGCGCATATTTGATTCTGTACATTTTATTAAATTTTATGATTCTTTCCTTCTTACAGCACGCCAAGATCCAGGTTCAACGCTTGGAGCTTTTAAAATTGTTGGAAAGCAAGTGTTTATTTGTAACTGTAATAATATGCTGTCTCTTATACACATCTAGATGTGTATAAGAGACATGCGTTGAAGAGACCTGATGGGCTTTCCGCGTTATCATCAGAATATGATTTAGATACAAATACAGCTAAACCACTTGGAATTTACACAAATACATTTTGTTCATCAGGTTCATGGTTAGGGAATGGAACTTTGGTTGAAGCGGGAGGTGATAAAGGAGATGCAAATTATCGTAGTGGTATACAAACGCTTCGTTTATATGATCCATCCGTTGGAGATTGGGTTGAATTAGAAGGAATTGTTCCATCAAATAGATGGTATCCAGCTATGGTAACCTTACCTAACGGAAATGTAATGATTCTAGGAGGTTCAACTGCTGCTACAGGTGTTAATAGAGCTGAAATTGATAATCCAACTTACACAATCTTTCCACCTCCAAATGGTGGTCCTTTGACAGACACTGCTTTTCCTTTCTTAAGTTCCCTTTTACCATATAATCTTTATCCAATGGTACATGTAATTCCAAATTATGAAGGAAAAACTCAACTTTTCATATTTGCGAATCAAAATGGAATTGCTTATGATCTTGACACCGGTACAACTATTACAACATATCCAAAAATTCCAGGTGGTATTCGTTCATATCCATTAACTGGAACTTCTATTATTATACCACTTGACCCTACGGATTATTATAAACCAACTGTCATGATTTGTGGTGGTAATAAAGTTTATGAACTTACATCACCAGCTGAAGCTTCTTGTGGTAGATTGGAATTAACTACACCAAATGCTGCATGGGAAATGGATGAATTCGGTGGTCAAGGACGTGTTATGCCTGATGCTACCTTTTTAGTGGATGGGTCCATCTTGTTTGTTAATGGTGCTGCAACTGGTTTCGCTGGTTATCGTAAAGGTGGAGGCGCTAACGCTTTATGGGTCAATGAAAATCCCGTGTTTACTCCATTCCTTTATGATCCATTTGCTAAAACGTATAAAACTCTTGCTGCTTCCACTATACCCAGAATGTATCACTCTGTTTCTACTTTAATACCTGATGGATCTGTACTTATTGCCGGAAGTAATCCACAGGGTAGCGTCTCTCTTAATGTTAAATATTCCACTGAGTGAGTTAACTTTTTTAATATTTTATAGTGTGTGTTTTTACGGTAATTAAAAAAATTCTAATCATTTTTTTTTTTTTTTTTTTTTTTTCTCCCATTAGATATCGTGTTGAAATTTTCTATCCACCTTATCTTTATTCATCAACTCCTCGTCCAAATATTATTTCTCTTCAAACTTCCCCAATTAATGAAAACAGAATTCCTGTAAGTTATGGCCAAGAAGTCACTATGGTTATACAAGTTAAATCTGATGGTGGTAACCAACCAGTTTTGAAAGCTTGTATTATACATCATGGTTTCATCACACATTCACAAAATTTCAGTCAACGTTATGTTTATCTTGAAATTACAAACTTTTGGGCCGATTCATCAGCTGCTGATCAATATATTTTAACTATTAAATTACCTCCAAATCCTACAATAATTTCTCCTGGTCCTTCTTATATATACGTTTTTAATGGAGATGCACCTCCTGTTAGTGGTGTTCAAGTTTTACTTCAACAAGCAGCTTAAAAAAAAAAATGAGGTTGGGACTTCAAAAGGGGAGAGAAGTTTTATCGTAAAAAAAAAACATTTTAGAACATGTAATTTTTTTCCCCCCGTTTTTAACACGATGTTTTTTTTTTCCTTGCAAATATTTTTGTATTTATTTAAATATAATTATTTTATATATATATATTTCCAAATTGACAAATATCATAAATACCTATTTAATTACGTATCGTTCTTAGATTATCAATAATATATAACTCGTTAAATTTTGTTTTATAATAATTATAACTTTTAGACAAAAAAAATTTTTAAAAAATGAAAAATAAAAATATGTATTAGAAATCTTCAAAATAAAATGTATTGATGGGTATAGTCTTAAATAATTTAATAATGATTGATTTAATAATGATTGATTTAATAATGATTGTTTTAATAATGATTGATTTATATCGATAATATACTGTATTTACGATAAATGTTATCGTGAAAATACTTTTGCTTGCTAATCCATTACTGAATCCGTTCCTTGAGCTTATGTATACAATAACACTTGCACTTTTGATTGGACGAGATGAACTTTATTCCCCGAATTTTTTGATGTTTTAAAATTTTTTAATGTTTTGACAATTTTTCTTTCAACATTCTAAATTTCTAATTACATTTTTTCCTCAAGTGTATTATAAAAGTTACAGTATTCTAAAGCCATTATAAATGTTACTCCGATTTATTTTTGCATAAAAACACTTGAATCACTTCATTTAATTGATTTTTTTCCTCTTAATAGCGTAGTAACATCAACTGACTAACAATTAATCTAATCAATCTATCCCCTCCCCTAGAGTCCTAAATCGTATTTCTTGATCAAATTATTTATCAATTACAGGGGCGTTATCGGGGCGGGGACAAACGAACGAACATTAAAATATTTATTAATATTAAAGAAATTATAATTTTTTATTTGAAATTTTTTGACGATTAAGTAGTATATACATACTATAATTATTCGATGAGCTAAATTTATAATTAAGCAAATAAATGTAAGTCATTCGACGTGCTAAATTTCATTTTTCTACGATATTACCTATATATAACAGTTGGCTGCTAGATATATAGACAGTTTTGCTAGATTGATATATCGGCATCTTTTGAAATACTAAGAGCTTTCATGCCCTTCTTCTTTTAATGATGACGCTTCCAATGCATTCTTGAGCTTTACCCGCAATTCCGCATTTTTTCGCCTAAGATCTTCTATTTCAGATTCGTGACGGTTAAACGATATTGAGTATGATATATACCTCCGATGTTGTGTAGTATAGTTGACAAAAATCTATACAGTATAATTTTTTATCTATACAGTATAATTTATTTTTTATCTATACAGTATAATTTTTTATTTTATACAGTATAGCTTTTATCTATACGGTATAGTTTTTTTACACTATACTATACACCATCGGATGTATATATCATACTCAATAACTATATTATCGATTCGTGACCCTCAACTACACATTTGAAAAAAAACATTCCCTCTTAATCGGGACTGTAATATGTCTACCGATCCATAATAGGAGATGGTTATTCACGCGAATAGTATAGATATATCACATGATTTTTAACAATTTATCTAATTTATAATAAAGCCATTTAAATTCCAAGAGGGGGTAAATTGTGCATAAATCGGTTAATGATTATTTACGATATTACGTAAAATTACAATTTCGAATGTGCGCGCAAATTCTGATATTCGCTTATTTGTAAATAATTACCAAAAACTACATAAATTTCTTATAAGCCCATATTATTATTATTATTATTATTTAAACATTATTATTATACAAGAATTCTCGAATAACAACATATAAATAGGTAACAAATGAATTTACTAATTAATCCTCATTCTTTTAAGGCCGGAACTAAGCCTGGAATTATCTAAATGGAGGGATCTACCAATTTTTTTCTCATAGAGGGTAATACGCAAACTTTGTATTGTTACCTTTTTTTGTATTATTCGGAGTTCGGAGTCCTAACCAAACTTTAAAATATGTTGAATAATTGTTGATAATTGTTTCAAATGACTTAACCAAGTTAGATTTGGAACATTAGTCAGGGAATTTAAAACGCTGAATTTATTTATTTAAGGGGGGGAGAGGGGTCATGTTATGGTGATATAACCTTTCAATGGTGATTGAATTAAGTAATTTTACCTTCCACTTTTTAAGAGATCAGAAAAAAAAAAAAAATCTCGATTCTCCCAAAACGCCATCTTTAAAATAAGAAATTCTTTTCTTCGAATTTACGTAATTTATTTATGATCTCTATACTATATATATATATATATATCATCTTTAAAATAAGAAATTCTTTTCTTCGAATTTACGTAATTTATTTATGATCTCTATACTATATTAAATTTTTTTGAGTCCAAAATCTAATATAATTAATTTCAGGTTTTGTTTGTTTAAATTCTTCTATTATATCATTTTCTGCCATATATTTAAAATTCTCTTTAGAAATTCCCAATTCATTACTTAGACTATCTATTGCCATCTCCGTAGTACAGAATGATACAAATATATTTTGATAAACTATGCCGATTTTATCACCATTCGGTCCAATGATGGTCTTCCTTTCATCTCGATGTATCTTTGTTATATTTGAATGTGATTCAAATATTGAATCAAGATTACATGATAAATTCATATCCACATTTCGTTTTAAGGAAGAGTCATAAACTTTAATTAAAAGTAATTAAATATTTAATTAGTATAAATATAATCATTTACGTTGTGCAAATGTCATATGTTAAAAAGTGAGCGTGACGAATTTATTTGCTGATTAACATAATCTAGACCGTTCCATCATCAAAAGATATACAAGATAAAGAATGAACTTACTTCCTCCATATAATTTTTTAAAAATTGGACCTGCTTCATCAGGTATAATGTATGGTTCGACTACTTCTATAAATCCACCTGATTTTGTTACCCTTTAAATGATGATGATCATAAAGTAAGTGATACAGTAGCGATACTTTAAAAAAAAAAAAAGAAATACTTGTATAATTTAAAATTACCTCATGAGCTCAGAAAAAACAAAATTCCATTGATCTCTTGTAAGAATAAGTATCATTGATTCCATATGTACAAAATTAAAATTAAAATTTCCCCACTTCAAAAAATTCACCACTTCACAAAATTTCCTCACTTTCACAAAATTTCATCACCACACAAATTTCTTACCTNTTTTTTTTTTTTTTTTTTTTTTTTCTCCCATTAGATATCGTGTTGAAATTTTCTATCCACCTTATCTTTATTCATCAACTCCTCGTCCAAATATTATTTCTCTTCAAACTTCCCCAATTAATGAAAACAGAATTCCTGTAAGTTATGGCCAAGAAGTCACTATGGTTATACAAGTTAAATCTGATGGTGGTAACCAACCAGTTTTGAAAGCTTGTATTATACATCATGGTTTCATCACACATTCACAAAATTTCAGTCAACGTTATGTTTATCTTGAAATTACAAACTTTTGGGCCGATTCATCAGCTGCTGATCAATATATTTTAACTATTAAATTACCTCCAAATCCTACAATAATTTCTCCTGGTCCTTCTTATATATACGTTTTTAATGGAGATGCACCTCCTGTTAGTGGTGTTCAAGTTTTACTTCAACAAGCAGCTTAAAAAAAAAAATGAGGTTGGGACTTCAAAAGGGGAGAGAAGTTTTATCGTAAAAAAAAAACATTTTAGAACATGTAATTTTTTTCCCCCCGTTTTTAACACGATGTTTTTTTTTTCCTTGCAAATATTTTTGTATTTATTTAAATATAATTATTTTATATATATATATTTCCAAATTGACAAATATCATAAATACCTATTTAATTACGTATCGTTCTTAGATTATCAATAATATATAACTCGTTAAATTTTGTTTTATAATAATTATAACTTTTAGACAAAAAAAATTTTTAAAAAATGAAAAATAAAAATATGTATTAGAAATCTTCAAAATAAAATGTATTGATGGGTATAGTCTTAAATAATTTAATAATGATTGATTTAATAATGATTGATTTAATAATGATTGTTTTAATAATGATTGATTTATATCGATAATATACTGTATTTACGATAAATGTTATCGTGAAAATACTTTTGCTTGCTAATCCATTACTGAATCCGTTCCTTGAGCTTATGTATACAATAACACTTGCACTTTTGATTGGACGAGATGAACTTTATTCCCCGAATTTTTTGATGTTTTAAAATTTTTTAATGTTTTGACAATTTTTCTTTCAACATTCTAAATTTCTAATTACATTTTTTCCTCAAGTGTATTATAAAAGTTACAGTATTCTAAAGCCATTATAAATGTTACTCCGATTTATTTTTGCATAAAAACACTTGAATCACTTCATTTAATTGATTTTTTTCCTCTTAATAGCGTAGTAACATCAACTGACTAACAATTAATCTAATCAATCTATCCCCTCCCCTAGAGTCCTAAATCGTATTTCTTGATCAAATTATTTATCAATTACAGGGGCGTTATCGGGGCGGGGACAAACGAACGAACATTAAAATATTTATTAATATTAAAGAAATTATAATTTTTTATTTGAAATTTTTTGACGATTAAGTAGTATATACATACTATAATTATTCGATGAGCTAAATTTATAATTAAGCAAATAAATGTAAGTCATTCGACGTGCTAAATTTCATTTTTCTACGATATTACCTATATATAACAGTTGGCTGCTAGATATATAGACAGTTTTGCTAGATTGATATATCGGCATCTTTTGAAATACTAAGAGCTTTCATGCCCTTCTTCTTTTAATGATGACGCTTCCAATGCATTCTTGAGCTTTACCCGCAATTCCGCATTTTTTCGCCTAAGATCTTCTATTTCAGATTCGTGACGGTTAAACGATATTGAGTATGATATATACCTCCGATGTTGTGTAGTATAGTTGACAAAAATCTATACAGTATAATTTTTTATCTATACAGTATAATTTATTTTTTATCTATACAGTATAATTTTTTATTTTATACAGTATAGCTTTTATCTATACGGTATAGTTTTTTTACACTATACTATACACCATCGGATGTATATATCATACTCAATAACTATATTATCGATTCGTGACCCTCAACTACACATTTGAAAAAAAACATTCCCTCTTAATCGGGACTGTAATATGTCTACCGATCCATAATAGGAGATGGTTATTCACGCGAATAGTATAGATATATCACATGATTTTTAACAATTTATCTAATTTATAATAAAGCCATTTAAATTCCAAGAGGGGGTAAATTGTGCATAAATCGGTTAATGATTATTTACGATATTACGTAAAATTACAATTTCGAATGTGCGCGCAAATTCTGATATTCGCTTATTTGTAAATAATTACCAAAAACTACATAAATTTCTTATAAGCCCATATTATTATTATTATTATTATTTAAACATTATTATTATACAAGAATTCTCGAATAACAACATATAAATAGGTAACAAATGAATTTACTAATTAATCCTCATTCTTTTAAGGCCGGAACTAAGCCTGGAATTATCTAAATGGAGGGATCTACCAATTTTTTTCTCATAGAGGGTAATACGCAAACTTTGTATTGTTACCTTTTTTTGTATTATTCGGAGTTCGGAGTCCTAACCAAACTTTAAAATATGTTGAATAATTGTTGATAATTGTTTCAAATGACTTAACCAAGTTAGATTTGGAACATTAGTCAGGGAATTTAAAACGCTGAATTTATTTATTTAAGGGGGGGAGAGGGGTCATGTTATGGTGATATAACCTTTCAATGGTGATTGAATTAAGTAATTTTACCTTCCACTTTTTAAGAGATCAGAAAAAAAAAAAAAATCTCGATTCTCCCAAAACGCCATCTTTAAAATAAGAAATTCTTTTCTTCGAAAAAAAAAAATTCTTAAAAAATGTATTTATTATATTAAATTTTTTTGAGTCCAAAATCTAATATAATTAATTTCAGGTTTTGTTTGTTTAAATTCTTCTATTATATCATTTTCTGCCATATATTTAAAATTCTCTTTAGAAATTCCCAATTCATTACTTAGACTATCTATTGCCATCTCCGTAGTACAGAATGATACAAATATATTTTGATAAACTATGCCGATTTTATCACCATTCGGTCCAATGATGGTCTTCCTTTCATCTCGATGTATCTTTGTTATATTTGAATGTGATTCAAATATTGAATCAAGATTACATGATAAATTCATATCCACATTTCGTTTTAAGGAAGAGTCATAAACTTTAATTAAAAGTAATTAAATATTTAATTAGTATAAATATAATCATTTACGTTGTGCAAATGTCATATGTTAAAAAGTGAGCGTGACGAATTTATTTGCTGATTAACATAATCTAGACCGTTCCATCATCAAAAGATATACAAGATAAAGAATGAACTTACTTCCTCCATATAATTTTTTAAAAATTGGACCTGCTTCATCAGGTATAATGTATGGTTCGACTACTTCTATAAATCCACCTGATTTTGTTACCCTTTAAATGATGATGATCATAAAGTAAGTGATACAGTAGCGATACTTTAAAAAAAAAAAAAGAAATACTTGTATAATTTAAAATTACCTCATGAGCTCAGAAAAAACAAAATTCCATTGATCTCTTGTAAGAATAAGTATCATTGATTCCATATGTACAAAATCAAATTCATTATCAGGAAAAGGTAATCCATTAAATATATTTCCTTCGACAAATTTTAGATTACTTGGTTTTATCTATTAAAAAAAAAAAAAGAAAAATTAAAATTAAAATTTCCCCACTTCAAAAAATTCACCACTTCACAAAATTTCCTCACTTTCACAAAATTTCATCACCACACAAATTTCTTACCTCTTGTGGATATATTGGCGTCATATCAAGTCCGATAAATTGAGAACTTGTATATGTATTTGATAATTCTAATAACCAAGTGCCAGGACCACATCTTTTTAAAAAAGAAAAAAAGAAGTAACGGTAATAAAATTAATAAATTATACATACTGTAGAATCATAGAATTCACCCATATTTGAATTAAAACTTACCCAACATCCAAAACTTTACATCCTCTTATTAAATCATCTTCAATCGGGGAAGAAAAATTATTTTGAAATATGTATTTTTTAAAAAAATGGTGTATATGTAACCTATCAACATCATTTATATCGTTCGATAAATAATACGTTGATTCTTTTTCTTTGTTTAATAGATCATGAGATGATACTTGTATCGATTTCGATTTTTTTGATTTTAATAGTCTTGAATTGTTGATACCCATAATTGGAAATGTAAATTATTTTTTTTGAAGAGGATGTTGGACTTGTGGACTTGAGGCGCTTTTTTTATATTCTTTTCGTGGTGTATTACTTTTCCTGTTTTTTTTTTGTGCCACCGATTATTCAAAGATGCATTATCATATCGTACATCAATAGAGTTAATTTACGTAAGAACTTAGTCATGTTAGTAATCATTTCTAAGATTCTAAACTTGTTTATATAAAATATTATAATAATAATAATAATAATAATTGTCATTAAAAGGTCATGCACTCCACTTTTTTTATTTTTTTTTATTTAAAAAAAAAAGGGTAATGAAAACAAATAGAAAAAGATCCTACGATTTTCAAATTATACTATTATGTAATTTAATTTCTTTTTTTTTATGGAAAGAAAATTGAAAATCTACTGAAAAAATCGGGAAAAAAAATTTCAGCAAGATTTCCAGATTCCCTGAGTCCCTGATACCATGAACACAATTTTAGAATTTGTTGTTCAAACTACGCGTGACTGGTCATGGAACTGGTCATAACGTAGTAAATGACGTAATAAACAAAAGAATCAGCCAATCGGATAATTTTTCCCTTTTTTTTTTTTTTTAAATTAATTTCAAATTTTATTAAAGCTAATAACAGATAATAGATAACAGATAACGTAAATAAACAAATATAATTTTTAATACAGCATGTACATGAAGTGTATGCGAAGAAGATTTCACACTTAAGCTTAACCAGTTAAAAACTTTTTAATTAAATTTTGCTTGGCAGAAAGAAAAAAAAAAAAATTATTTTTAATTCATTATGCATGAAACGCATGAAACGCATGAACAGTATGTTCCTATCCTAAACTGTAATAATACTTTAAAAAAAATTCATAAATGAGTTTTGGATTTATTAAATTTTTATGTACGTGACAATTTTTTTTTCGTAATCTTTTGTTGACGATTATAAATTTTCATGAATTTCTAAATGTCGTAAATGTCGTAAATGTCGTAAATTAAATAAATGTCAAAAAAAAAAAGTCATAAATATAAATTAAACCATTACCGTTGGATATTTGCCAAGAATTTTCTTTGTTCTTAAATACACGAAAAAAAATATTTAATTATAGGAAATTTGGTAACACTAATTATCCATATGGCAAAATAATGAGAAAATTTAACATAAACAAGCCATTTCTCGTTTTATCTCGCTGACAAATTGTTATGTAATAAATACATCATTACCAATTAAGTTGTCATGCATGGCAAATCATTAAAAAAAATTTATTAACTTGAAATAAGTGAAATTTTTTTTATTTTTCTTTGTTCATATAATGTATAATCCTAAAATTCACATATTTTTAAGCATAAATGATTTGCAATAAAAAATACTAAAATTTGATTAATCCCTGACATATGATAGGGAAGCGAGAATTCCACGAAACAAGAATTATTTTACTGTACAAAAATCAAAATATCTATTAGGAAAGGATACAAAAATGTACGTATTTTATGATAAAATGACCATCCATGTATTTGGAACGAACCTTTAATATATAAAGATTTTTAAATATTATATCCCCCTTCATAATTTATTTTCAATCGGTGAAGAAAATTGGTTTGAAATAATACTTATTTCAAAAATGGTGTCAATACGATACGTTGGTACCTGTTTCGATTCTTAATAATTTGAAATTATTGATAACTCATAATTTAAAAGTGTAATTTTTTTAGGTCATTATTTTTTAATTATCGCCGTTTTCAAAATGTGCATCATTTTGAAAACGGCGATAAAAAAGAATATTTAACTTGAGACGTAATTTTAAAAAAATTATAAATTCACAAGAAAAATCGAATTGAAACCAGATAGTCACTGGTTAAAGTGATATGGTTTCCACTATGGAAACCTTGGCGTACGTGATTAATACTTGTCCAATTTACATAAAATTTCCATGACATTTCCACAAAAACTGGAAACTTCATTGAAATCTGGCGTACACCATGGAAATTGGACAAATTTTAATAGTATAAACTTTCATGTAAGCCATATCCCTTCGACCTGTGAGTAACGTTATTCGAAAAGATCGATTACTTAGGGTTCATATCAATAAAATAGCAATGCACAGACGATTCAAAATTCATTATAAATAATTACGTACGACCGCTGGTCACAGCATCGTAGATGAAGAAGCCAATCGGAAAAATTTTTTATGTTTAAGAAAATTAATTTTGTGTTAATTAAAGAATAACAGACGTGAGTATATATAGAAAAGTACTAATATAATGACCAATTAAATATTTTATTTTAAATGCTTATATGTATATTTTTAGTTTTTCATGAACGCATAAAAATGTTCATTATATACCCTATCATAAAAAGTTTGAATATATGTGTACATGACAATTATTTTGTTGAATTTTAAATATTATCAAGACGATTATAAATTTTCCCAAATGTTGTATATGTCATAAATGTCAAAAATGTAACTGTAGACTTTCATCGACAAATTTTGACATTTCAGTATATTTTCCGTATATTGCCTGAGCATTTTCCGGATAAAAAAACACAAACACAAAAAAGCATAACACAAAAGTAATTTTTTTGTCCAGAAACGGTCTGGAAACGGCCTAGAAAAAAGAAACTGCATCGTAACACACGTTATACGGAACATCTGACAAATCGTTACATAATACATAAATACCAATTAAATCGTCATGAAATTCATTGATATAAACAGTGAAATCCTCATTTTGTCCTTAGTAGAGTATTTTATTTATTTAAAAAAGGTTTATGCGATTATTTCATCAAGTAATTAAAACCATGGGTAATAACAATACCGGAATTTGACCAAATAGAATCGGAACAAGAAAATCAAGAAAGGCTATGGTATAATTATATCATCGAGTGATGTCGATACTATTGATAGACTACATATGTATCATTTTCTTAAAAGATATGTATTTCAAAATAATTTTTCTTCCCCAATTGAGGATAAGTTAACTGAAGGAGGGTGTAAGATTTTAGATATTGGATAAGTGATATTTTTTAAGTGACCATCTCAAAATATCGAAGAATTTTAAGGTACATATATTTATTTAAATGATTATTTAATTTTAAAAAAGGTGCGGCCCTGGAACATGGTTATTAGATTTAGCGAACAAATATGAAAATTCATATTTTTTTGGAGTTGATATTAATCCACTATAACCACAAGAAGTAATAAAATTTATAAATTTTATTTTATTTATGAAATAAAATCGAAAATTTGATTTATTATCCTACATAAATTGACAGATAAAACCAAATAATCTTGAATTCATCGAAGCCGATGTAACTATTGGATTATCATTTCACGATAACGAATTTGATTTTACACATGTAGAAAATATGGACCTTGTTTTTGCACCAGACCAATGGGATTTTGTTCTTTCTGAGCTCATCAGGTATTTCTTTTTTTTTTTTTAAAAAAAAAATCACCCATACATATGTCATATGTGCATCTTATTTTTGGGGTCTCCGGTTTATAAATATTTGTATATATACTGTATATACATTTTTACAGAATAACGAAACCAGGTGGATATATTGAAGTAGCTGGTAGTACTAGACATGATGGTCATGTTGGCGAAGGTCCGATTTTTCATAAAATAACAGACGCATGTAAATATATTCATTGCTTTTAATTTTAATTTTATGTATTATTGTAATTATAAGATACTAAATTTTCATTTTCCACAAATAAATATAATTATTAATTGCAGTTTGGACATATTTTTTAAAAGGAAATATAGAAACTGATTTGATGTATAATCTAGATTCAAAATTTGAATTACAACAAAATATAGGAGAAGTTCATCGAATTGAAAAAGATCTCATTATAGGTCCCAATGGTGATAAAACTGGTTTGGTTCTTCAAGATATTTATGTTTCTTATCTTACGTCGGAAATAGTAATTAAAAATCTTAGTGAAAAAATAGGAATTTCTGAAGAAGAATATAAGAATATGATAGAAAAAGATCTAATTGAGGAATTCAAACAAACCAGCCCTAAGATTTTTCATTTTAGATTATGGGTTCAAAAACAATTATCACAATAATAATGATTTTTTTTTTCCTATTATAAACAGTAAATTAAATAAAATATATTATGTAATAAAATTTTTTTCCCAGAAATCTAGTGTGTTATTGTACAGTTTTTTCACTAAAAATATAAAGTCAATTTTTACGTTTAAAAAATGTAATTTATACTCTTATTTTTGTTAGACGTTTTTTACTTTTAACACAACATTCATAGATCGACGAAATCCTGACGATCAGACGATACTCGGATTTGTATTTTAACGGGATCCTGATCGCCTATGATCAACAGGGTTCACCGACAATCATTTTCACGATCCGCAATTAGTACTATCGCGGATTATAGAAAAAGTTTTCCCAATAATAAAATAATTGTCGGTGAAATAAATACGACCCCAACAATGTAACTTGTACAGTAATGAAATTCTATCTGCTGTTCTGGAATTGATTTCATATCAGATCTAATAAATTAAGAAGTTGTGTACGAATTTTATAAAAATAAAACGCACCTAAATTATATTATCAAACAAATACTGTAAATAAATTCAAAAAGATCTTCCCTTCTTGAAAATCGAATTAAATTGTTTCAGCTAACTCAACAACCAAAGCTTTATACCCTAATTTATTTTCAATCAGTGAAGAAAAATTATTTATCGATATGATACGCTAATATCTGCTTCCCTAATTGATGTTCATAATCGGAAAGTGTAATTTTTATACTTATATATATATATTTTTAATAAAAAAAAAAATTTGCTTGAGACATTTAATTCTACAAATCCAATTATTTATATCATTTAATAATAAGAATAAGGTAAAACGTATTACTAATATTTTATAGTTTTCAGATTATTATATTCATTATTTTACACTATATATAATTTAAAAAAAAATTGTAAATTCACGAGAAAAACTGAGTTGAAAAAAATCAAGTAGAACTAATAGAACTGTAATTAAATTGGAAGTAGTAACGTTGCTCAACAATTTTCTTAACGGGCATCATGCAAACTTCAATTCTTCTAGTAGCAACGCACTGACTTTTAAGTAAAATTGTATATTATAAACAATTCATTATGAACAATTTACGTATGATCCGCCCGTTCCATTCTTCGGTCTGCGGTCCAGAACCGAACCGCATACCGGGACCGCAGTCCTATTAAATCGTTCCAAAAATTCTAAAAATTCCGTACTTGTCTTATATATATTTATATGCTATAAAGCCAGTACAGTACGGTACAGTTGCCAAATTTCTTTGATAACTATTATATTAAGCTAATATCTAAATAACCACCATGTTTGGTAATACAACTAAACTTACAGAGTTACAGCAGGTACGGTACGAAGTCACTTAATAAAATATAATACCTATAATATTCTTTTTTTAATTTAATTTTTAAAACTTACTATTTAAAGTTAAAGGAAATTTTTTATAAGATTAGTATTCATTTTGTCTATAATAAAACTGTAATGTGATCAATCATTATTTATATGATATTGCAATTTCTATGGTATTTCGGTACGATTGACATCGTACCTATCTTACCAATAATTCTGTACCTTACTTATTACACCATACTACTTTACTATATATTCAATGGACATTGGTGTCCAAATAATCTCTATGCTAAATGTAGAGTATATAGTGCCAATCGTACCGAAATACCATAGGAATTACAATATCACATGAATAACCTTTGGGTATGATTAATCATATTACATCCTTTAACTTTTTAATGGTAAGTTTTAAAATATTATAGGTATTATATTTTATTAGGTGACTTCGTACCGTACCTGTGAGTTTAGTTGTATTTATATTATAATATATACTGTACATCCAAAGAAACAGGTACGGTAAGATAGGCAAATGGAGAAAGCATATGGTTAAAGTTTCATACCTACTAAAAAACAATAAATCACAATACCGTAACAAAATGCACAAGACCGTAACCAAATAAATAACACCTCTAAATGTACAGCTATGGAGTAGTACGATCTGTATTAAGGTTCAATTGTAAGTATCAATTTGATCAACCGTGCCTATTGATTTGCTGAATATCCTCTTGCCTCAAAAAAAGAATAACATATACATATAAATTCATTTGTGTTCTTTAAAGTATAACAGATAACATTAAATAAATATTTTCTTAATAAAAACGTGAATATGTAAAGAAAGTACTACAGTCGGCTCGCGAATTTTTGTCCAGGCCTCCGTTATAGGATATTCGGGGAAAATCTGGTATTATACACAAAATAAAAAAATTGTTATAAGAAAAATTACGTTATACTGTATTAGGAGTTATTTAATATATACACTTATTATACGGATTATAGATTTTCTACTTCATTATGCGGTGTAAAGCATTTAATTAATAATATCCGGAGTATATATGCCGATATTTTTTTATGTACTACACTAAAAAATCGTTTATTGTAAAAATTCGGCATAACGCGAGTTCGTATAAAGCGAGCCGACTATATAACAATGAAATAAATGTAGCCAGTTAAAAATTTTTTACTTGAGAGTATCACAAAATTTCGTTCACTAAAAAAAACGGTATATACAGTATGTATATATACTTTAATTATTATACATAGAATGTTCATTACAGAAAGTTTATGAATGGTTTAAAATAATTAAATTTGTGTACGTGGCAATTTTTTATAAATCTTTTGTTGTTGAATTTAAATATTATTAAGATTATAAATTTCCCAAATTTCGTAATGTCAATTATCGCAAAAATGTAAGATTTTCATTGGAAAACCAGGAAGTTTGTTCATATGCCGCATTGACCTTCCTTTTTTTTATGCTTTTCGTAAAAAGTATTTTGAATATAGAAATATTGTAATACTCTTTATGTGAAACAATAACAGATAAAACCGGTCAAACAAAACATCTGACAAATCGTTACATAATACATAAATACCAATTGCAGTAAAATTAAAATTATATAAATAGATGAAACCATCCGCAATTATTTCATCTAATAAATTAAAATCATGGGTAATGTAAATTCACATTTAAAAAATAAACGATTATCAATAAAAAACCCGAAATTTCACCAAATAGAATCGGAACAAGGAAGTCAAGAAAACCTATTTTATTTATCATCGAGTGATATCGATTCTATTGATAGATTACATATGTATCATTTTGTTAAAAAACATATATTTCAAAATAATTTTTCTTCCCCGATTGAGGATAAATTAATTGAAGGAGAGTGTAAGGTTTTAGAAATCGGGTAAGCGATATTCTTCAAATGAACATCTCAAATATTTCAGAGAATTTTATGGTGCATATATTTATTTGACTATTTAATTTTAAGGTGCGGCCCTGGAACATGGTTATTGGATTTATCAAACAAATATGAAAATTCTTATTTTATTGGAATCGAAAATAAACCATTATATCCGCAAGAGGTATATTAAAATTCATAAGTTTTATTTTATTTTTAAAATAAAACAGAAATTTATCATTTTTCCTATATAAATTGATAGATAAAACCAAATAATCTTGAATTCGTCGAGGCCGATGTAACTGATGGATTACCATTTCACGATAACGAATTTGATTTTACACATGCAGAAAATATGGGCCTTGTTTTAACACCAGACCAATGGGATTTTGTTCTTTCTGAGCTCATCAGGTATTTCTTTTTTATTCTTTTTTTTTTAAAAAAAAAATAATACAAATAAATTTATACCATATTACCATATATATTTTTTAACAGGGTAACGAAACCAGGTGGATACATTGAAATATCTGACAGACGTAATGGTCATGTTGGCGATGGTCCTATTTTTCGTAAAATATCAGATGCAAGTAAGTATATTCATTGCTTTCAATCTTAATTTCGTGTATTGTGTATTTATATAAGTTACTAATTTTACTTTCCATGAAATATAATTATAGTGTGGTCAACTTTTTCAAAACAAAATATAGATACTAATTTGATATATAATCTAGAATCAAAATTTGAATTACAACCAAATATAGGAGAAGTTCATCGAATTGAAAAAGATCTCATTATAGGTCCCAATGGTGGTAAAGCTGGGTTGATTATTCATGATATTGGTATGTCTTATTATACATCGGAAATGTCAATTAAAAATCTAAGTGAAGAAATGGGAATTTCTGAAGAAGAATACAAACATATGATAGAAAACGATCTAATTGAGGAAATCAGTCAAACAAGCCCTCTTGATCTCCATCTTAGATTTTGGGCTCAAAAACAATTATCGCAATAATGATTATTTTTTTTATTTTTTTCTTTTCTGCTATGAATAAATTAAAATATAGTGATAAAATTTTTTTTTCCAGAATCTACTAGTGGACTATTATAAATGAATCAATCCAATTTTTCGACTAAAAATATAAAGTCACAATGTTTACGTTTAAAGTGTAATTTATTTCTTTTACTTATAACACAACCAACATTCGTAGATCGAACTTAAAAAATAAAAATTGGCTTAATAAAATGGTCTTAAATGATCTGGTTCAACTACCTGGAAGTATGGAACGCGCCTGAAAAAATAATTATCAAACAATAAGATTATATTCAAAAGATCCTTCCTTCTTGAATTAACTTAATTCAAGAACTATTAACATCCTTTATTTCCAATTTGTGAAGAAAAATTATTTTGAAATATATTTCCAACTATTCACGATTTAGTAATAAGAATAAGATAGAATGTAAACCTTACTATTAGGATTTTATGATTATCAGATTATTATGTTATTTTATGTAATTTAAAAAAGTATAAGACTAATTTTAACTCAGGGTGATTTAACCTGGGTGATTTAACTTACTAGTAAATTTTATATAATTATATAATTTTGCCCAAATTTTCAAAAAAAAAGTAAAATTATGATTACAATCAAAATTGAGACATTGTCAAAAATGTAAGAAAACTTGGTCATTATGCTCTATAATTTCCAAATTACCACCCCTGAAAAAACGCCAATTTCACCAAACCGCCCTATTCATGATAGAGTATATTTTTCATACCCAGGAAACCCCCTATATCATGCTATATAAAGTGAAATGTGATTTAACCCAGGTTAATTAACCCAGGGGCAAGTTAGCAAATTCTTTTAAAAAATATTGTAAATCTGCAAGAAAAACCGAATGTTGAAAAATCCGGGAAAATATTTTAGATAGAATTGGAATTAGATGGGAAGTAGTAAAGGACCCCGAGCTATACACAATAGAGTTTGCGTGAAATAAAAATAACGTGTAGTTCATTTCTTTTTTTGGTAATGCCAGCCGGAATTACGTAATTCTGGCCCTGAAGAAATGCGTAGAGCTAATAGTAAAAATCCGATCTCCTCAGTGTTACCTATTTACTGCATATATTGCACGTTGTTTGTTAACATTAAATGGGTATCATATTAATCAAATGAAATGCATGCAATCTTCAATTTTACTAATAACGCACAGACGGTCAGTAAATTATTTATATATTATTATAAATAATTAATCACGTATGACTGTCGGTCATAGCGTCGTAGATGAAATTGTAATTAAAAAATAGAATCAGTCAACCGGAAAATTTTTTTTATATATTAGCTAATTAATTTATGTTCATTAAAGCATAACAGATAACATTAAAACAAATATTTTCCTTAGTAAATACATGAATATGTGAAGAAAGCAATACGAAATAAGTTAACCAATTAAAAAAATTATTTTATTTAATACCATTACTTGAAAAAAATATTACAAATTTCTTTAATTAGCTTAAAAAAATGCATGAACTGAATAGAATGTTCATTACATCCTATCCTGTATTTATGAATGGTTTGAATTAATTAAATGTATGTGCACGTGACAGTTTTAAAATTTAAATTTCAAATGTCTTTCATTGGCATGCCAAGGAATTTCTTTGTTCATAGCCGAATTATCCTTTTTTTTGATGATTTTGTAAAAAGTTTTTTAAATATAGAAATATTGTAACACACGTTATATGATAAAAGGTTAACATAAGCAGAACATCTGACAAATCGTTACATAATGCATAAATACAAATTAGATTGTCATACAAGACGAAACATTAAAATCTCATCTTCATTATATAAATAGACAAAATCTTTTGTCCTTAACAGAGAACTTTATTTAAAAAAGTTTATGTGATCATTTCATCTCAAGAAAATAAAATCATGGGTAATATCAATTCATATTTAAAGCATAAACGATCAACAATAAAAAACATCCCGGAATTTGACCGAATAGAATCAGAACAAGAAAGACAAGACAAGCTATTGGACTATTATTTATCGACTGATGTCGATTCTATTGATAGATTACATATGTATCATTTTTTTAAAAGATATATTTTTCAAGGTAATTTTTCTTCCCCAATCGAGGATAAATTAATTAAAGGGGAATGTAAGGTTTTAGATATAGGGTAAGTGACATCTTTCAAGTAAACATTTCAAATATCTCGAAAAAATATGTTTATTTGAATGATTATTTAAATTTTTAAGGTGCGGCGCTGGTACATGGTTATTAGATTTAGCGAACGAATATGAAAATTCATATTTTTTTGGAGTTGATATTAAACCAATTTTTCCGCAAGAGGTAATAAAATTTATAAATTTTATTTTACTTATTAAATAAAACCGTAAATTTGATCCTTTGTCCTATATAAACTGATAGATAAAACCAAATAATCTTGAATTTATCGAAGCCGATATAACTAATAGATTACCATTTCATGATAACGCATTTGATTTTGCACATGTAGAAGGCATGAGCCTTATTTTTACACCAGACCAATGGGATTTTATTCTTTCTGAGCTCATCAGGTATTTAAAAAAAAAATAAATTATCCATACAAATATATCATATTTTGCGTATTCAGTTTATTCGTAGTATACTGTACATATTTATTTTTACAGAGTAACGAAACCAGGTGGATATATTGAGGTAGCTGGTAGACGTAATGGTCATGTTGGTGATGGTCCTGTTTTTCGTAAAATGTATGATGCAAGTAAGAATATTCATCGCTTTTAATTTTAAACTCATGTATCATTGTAATTATAAGATACTAAATTTTCACTTTCCACAAATGAACACAGTTTGGGCATTTCGTTCGAAACGAAATATAGATACTGATTTGATATATAATCTAGATTCAAAATTTGAATTACAATCAAATATAGGAAAAGTTCATCGTATTGAAAAAGATGTTATTATGGGTCCTAATGGTGGTAAAATTGGTTTGGTTATTCAAGATATTAGTATTTCTTATTTTACGTCGGAAATGACAATTAAAAATCTAAGCGAGGTAATAGGAATTTCCGAAGAAGAATTTAAAAATATAATAGAAAAAGATCTATTTGAGGAATTCAAACAAACAAGCCCTAGGATTTTCCATGTTAGATTTTGGGCTCAAAAACAATTATCGTAATAATGATTCTTCTCTGTTAAAATAAGTTAAAAATATAGCATAAATATTTTTTTTTTTTTTTTTCAGAAAGATAATGTGCCTATTGTAAATGAATCAATCCAATTTTTCGACTATAAATAAGTTAATGTTTACGTTTAAAATGTAACTTATACTTTTTTTATTATTTCCTGAAGTATGTTAAACGTTTTTACTTATAACTCAACATTCATATATCGATCTCAAAAATATTGACGAAATTTTATGTTTTCTGGGATGAACATTGATTTTATATCAAGTCTAATAGATTAAGAATTTGTGTGCGAATTTTATAATGAAAATACTATATATCTGGTACACACTTAAAAAAAAATTTTAAATGTATAAAAAATGTTATATTCAAAAAGATCCTTTCTTCTTGAAAATTGAATTCAGTCAACATAACATCTGATCCAGAGCTTTAAATAATTTATTTAAATCAGTACGTGGAGAAAAATTATTTGAAAGATATTAAAATATGGTGACAATACGATATGCTGGTACCTGTTTCGATTCTTAGAAATTTGAAATCATAATTGGAAGACTATTATTTTTTTCTTTTTAGTTCAGTTAAAAAAGAATAGTGCTTCATTTCGAACTCGACCCGAGTGTAAAAGCCATGACCCGAACAGTACCCGAACTAAACTCGCTCATGTTTTGATCTGAATAACTCGGGTTGACCCATCAAATTTCTTTACAGCTGATTTCATAATGTACGGGACACTTGGCAAATTTTTGCCGAGAGCTGACATTGTCGGTAGCTAATCATCCCAAAGGGTGTCACGTGACAATAGCTAAATCATGTGTTCGGCATATAAATTTGCCAAGTGTCCTGTACATTATGAAATCAGCTGTAATATATATATATATATAATTGTTAATTAAATATACAGTATAATAAAAATATTCGGTTCTTCATGCAGTCACGGGCCACTAAATTATGTGACCCCAACCCGACCCGATTAGAAAATAGAAACTCTACTAAGATTTTGTGATTTTCAGTAATTTTAAAAAAAATTGTGGATCCACAGGAAAAAAGCTGAAATCTTAAAAACCGGGAGATATAATTGGAATTAGTAACGTTGTTTGACAAAGATCGATTTTCTCAACATTGGGTGAGTAGTGTACAGGCATTTCTAAAATGTGAAAAAAGTTGATTGCCTGAGGCTTATTAAAATTCACAACTAAAGGAAGAACAGTTGCTCTACTAGCAACGCACGGACGGTCTCAGTAAATGTGCATTATATACGAATCATCATTATAAACAATCAAAGTTGTAATAAAAAAATCGAATCAGCCAATCGAAAGAAAATTTTTAGAAAATTAATTTTATATTCATAAAAACAAATATTTTCTTAATAAATAAATGCGTCCCAGAAAGGGATTTACTACGAAATCCTGACAATCAGAATCCTGCTACAAGACGCTCACAATCCCGACAAATAATAATCCCGAAACTTCGGAATCCCGTAACCACATTATTCCCGACATTCATTATCCCGAAACTATCCTCCTAGCAATTGAAATATAATGACATAATATAGAAATTCTAAAAAATGATTTATTAAAATCTTTAATCAGTATATTGAAAAAATAAAAAAATTATTGTATCTTTATGACGCAATAATTTAATTTTACAATAATCATTAATATTTGCGAAGTGATTCTTAATTTTTTGCGATGTATTATTAAATTCATTAAAATATTAATAAAAAAAATATTAATTTTACAATAAAACATTAATATTTGCGCAGTGATTTTGCAAATCATATTTGCGAAGTATCATTGCAGATTAATAATGTTACTGAATTTTTGCGATGTATTATTAAATATTAATAAAAAAAACAATAACATTTATTTTTGCAATATTAAAAAAATTATTATTTTACAATAGAAACTATAATTTTGCGATATTTTAAAAATTGTTACATATTTATTACGTCTATAAAAAAAGTAATAAAAAAAAAAAATATCGTATCAGGAATCAGGTGGTTACGGCTCCCCCCAGAAAGTACTATTCCTCACCTTAGGTGATTTGATATACTTACCTGTCATATGACCTTTGTTAAGGTATTTGTAGTAGGCAAATTACCTATAAGCTATACAAAGCTTGTATAAGTAAAATTTTTTCGTCAAAAAAAAAAAATATTCTTTTTTTAGAAAATAATCGGCATGACGTCATTTTTATATATTAAATTTGGGGGTAAGAAATTACCCGGGCGAGTTTTCATGCTTAATAGTATCACAAAATTTTGTTTTAATTATAATAATTATTGTGCATGAATCCTATCCTAAACTGTAATAAACAAAGGTTTGGATTAACTAATTATGTGTAGGTACTGTGATAAATTTCTTTATAACCTTTGAACTTCGGACGATTATAAATTTTTGAATTTTCAAACGTCGTAAATAATGTCGTTCATAAATTTTGTATATTTTTATTGATATGAGAAGGAATTAATTTCTTTGTACATATGTCGTATTGAACTTTTTTTTAATGCTTTAATAAGATTTTTTTAAATTTAGAAATATTGTAACGCACGTTATATGGAAAGAAAAAAAAACTTATAAACAAAATATCTGACAAATGTTACACGATACATAAATATGCAGGGAGAAACTTTAAAAAAATTTCATCTACGCTATAAAATAGATGAGATATTCTTTTTGTCCCTTACAAAGATCTTAATTTAAAAAAAGTTTATGTGATTATTTCAATTTATTTTATTCTCAAAGAAATTAAAACAATGGGTAATAAAAATTCACGTTTAAAGCATAAGAAGTCAACGATAAAAAAAATCCCGGAATTTGACCAAATAGAATCGGAACAAGAAAGACAAGATAAGCTATTGGACTATTATTTATCGACCGATATCAATTCTATCGATAGATTACATATGTATCATTTTCTTAAAAGGTATCTATTTCGGGGTAATTTTTCTTCTCCAATTGAAGATGAATTAATTAAAGGAGGGAGCAAAGTTTTAGATATAGGGTAAGTGACATTTTTCAACAAATATCTTGGGAATTTTATGATACATATATTTGTTTGAATGATTATTTATTTTTAAGGTGCGGCCCTGGAACATGGTTATTAGATTTAGCGAACAAATATGAAAATTCTTATTTTTTTGGAGTTGATTTTAAGCCAATTTTTCCACGAGAAGTAATAAAATTCATAAGTTTTATTTAATTTTAAAATAAAAACCGAAATTTATCATTTTTCCTATATAAATTGATAGATAAAACCAAATAACCTTGAATTCATCGAAGCTGATGTAACTGATGCACTATCATTTCATGATAACGAATTTGATTTTACGCACATAGAACATATGAGCCTTGTTTTAACATCAGACCAATGGGATGTTGTTATTCCTGTTTTTTTTTTTGAAAAAAAATTATTCACGTAAGTATATCATATTTGGGTATTCCAGTTTATTAATATACTGTACATATATATTTTACGGAGTAACGAAACCAGGTGGATACATTGAAGTATCCGATAGACGTAATAGTTATGTTGGCGAAGGTCCGATTTTTCGTAAAATGTCAGATGCACGTAAGTATTTTCATTTCTTTGAATTTTAATTTCATGTATTATTGTAATTATAATATACTAATTTTTCATTTTCCACAAAACATAATTAATTACAGTTTGGGCATCTTGTTCGAAACGAAATATTGATACTAATTTGATATATAATCTAGATTCAAAATTTGAATTACAACCAAATATAGGAAAAATTCATCGAATTGAAAAAGACCTTATTATAGGTCCCAATGGTGGCAAAATTGGTTTAATTTTTCAAGATTTAGCCTTTTCTTATTATATATCGGAAATGGCAATTAAAAATCTAAGTGAGGAAATGGGAATTTCTGAAGAAGAATACAAAAATATGACAGAAAAAGATCTAGTTGAGGAATTTAAGCAAACTAGCACTGAGTGTGTTCATTTTAGATTTTGGGCTCAAAAACAATTATCGTAACATACTAATGATACTAGTACATCACATAATTTATATTGATGAAATTCCTGGAAATATTAATTTCATATCAAGTCCAATAAATTGATAATGTATATAAAAATAGTCACATATCTTTATCTTCATTCGCTGATTTGAGATCGTGATTCGATTTTGGTTTTAAATTTTAACAATTTGAAATTGTTAATGTTATAATTAGAAGGGTTATTTTTATTTTTAATAAAACTATAACTATTTTAAGCTTTTAATTTTAAATCCTGCATATCTAACTAAAACTGCTTAATGCTTAATTTTGATATCGCTGTACAAATATGACTAAGTTCTTACGTAACATTTCATTTGATGATGTAATAAAGCATATTTGTGCTTCTTAATCAGTGATACAAACCAAAATCAGGTAAATCAATTTATCATATGATAATAATTGTATATCCACGTCCCCGACATTCCTTTTTTTTTAAAAAAAAATAAAAATAAAATAAACAAAAAAAAAAA